TAACCAGTATTTTCGCCCCTTCCCAAAATGACTTCAACGGAAGGTTTCCAGATGGATATGCGGAGCAAATTCATCTGGCGGAGTCAGGTTATCTTTTACATGCACTGGGACAAAATAACTAAATGTTTTCACCTTAAATATTAATCATCTAAAGAACAAGATGGTTAAATAAAAGTCGACTTTTCTACTTTTCAGCTTTCACAGTTCACACAATTTTCACAAATTTACATATGTGATTTATAAATGCACAGAACAAGATTTGCCAAAGTATTTCTGGTCCATAAACAATTATAGATTAAATTACACGCTGTGTGTGTGTGGATCTTGTCGTGTGCATGTATGGATCACATATGTGTAATTGTGAAAATTGAGACCGATCTAACTCCATTTCACAGATTTTCATTTTCTGGTAAAATCCAGAATATTCCCTACTGATTTAATTCAAACCACCTTTACATTTATCAATTAAACACGGCGGAATACATTTTACCTGCCATTGCTGATTTGTTGCGGTGAATGTCGGGAGTGGTCTGAGGGTTCGGACCTCCTGTCCGGGGAGCGGGAGCGGCTGCTACGGTGTCTGTCGTGTGATCGGTTGGAATGATCGGATGCCATAGAATGGATGTCTGAAATGTCTGGTGAAAGAAAAGTCACGTGTTCAGAGAACACCATCATGTAGGAATTACTCCACGCTCCTTTCAGCGGAATACCCCACACTCACCATCTCTGTCGGAGGCGTTAGCTGAAGGAATGCTGTCATCGAGGTCAGGGATGTTGAGGAGGGTCGCCCTGTCGTCTCTCTGAACAACCATTTTTAGTTTGCCCTTTGACCTTTCGATCAGTTTCTTAGCGTCTATCAAGGAGAGGTTCTCTGTCACTGTGCCATTAATCTGAGACAAGCCAAAGAAGAAGATATCAGCTCTAGGAAAACAGTCACCCAATCAAAATGCAGTTTTTACTAATTATTGACCTTTAATATTTAAACCTTCAATACAGAAAAACTATGTATTAAATAAATAAAAAAATGCCAGGTTATACATAGAGCTGTAAAAACAAACGTTTAGGTGTGTAAAAGTTATTTTTTGTGCTACAACCAACCATTAAATCATTGAAAATAGTGATTTTAAAGGATGCAGATGTACAATTTACAGACAAATAGTGAAAATAAGCGATTATTTAAAGAACAGAGGTAAAATGCAATATATTTCGATGAGAACGAACCTAAATCAAGGAAAATTGATGTGTTGTGATGCAGCATTGGGGAGGAAAACATTCTGAATAAGATAAACAGTTTCTGTTTTCCATAATAAAACACGGTAGGAGATTTAGCTGAATTCTCCGTACCTTCAGTACCACGTCCCCCTCCTGGATGTTGCCATCCCTGGCGGCCAGGCTCTCGGGGGAGATGTCCTTGACAAAGATGTGGCTGGCCAGGCGCAGGCCATATTCTGCTTACAGAGTGAACGACAGCAACAAAGAGCATGTTAGCACAGAGAGTTCACAGGACAGCGGGACCACACCAAACGCTCTGCTGACAGCTGCTGCTCCCGCTGGGATTAACAGACTGATTAAAGAAGATTAATTGCTCTTTTACTTATTTACTTGAGTTTACTCAGATTTTGCTAAGGCTGGCAACTTCTATTTACTCTGGCTCTCACCCAGAGGTGATTTGGAAGATTTACTTGGCTAAGGTCGGGTGCATGAAACGGCAATGCCCCGTTATTCATTTCTATCCCCGACTTTTCGAGCCTCACCTTCATTTTTGCGGGATTTGACGAGCGTGACCTTGGCGGGGCGAGGGGGGAGGTTGTGCGAGCGGCGGTCCGAGCGCGGGGACATGCTTCTCTCTCGTGACCCGCTGCGCTCGCGGTCCCTTCGTCCGCTGCTCCGACCGCTGCGTCTGCCCATGGCCCCGCCTATGCCACTGTAAGCACCACTGCGCCCGCTCCGCGTCTCGTATATTTCTTCGTCGTAGCTGTCCTCCTCTTCGTCGTGTTCCGACATCGTTTCTCTCTCCCCCAGCCGGCCCATGGGAACGTGCACCTTCCTCTTCCGTCTGATTGTCTGACAAAAGAAATGAGGTTCAGGATCAAGATGACAAACATTTCATTTCAATAAATCAGTTAATTAGTTCCCTAGAATTTGCTTTTCTTTGCTTTCCTAAAAGAAAAATGTTTGTCTAGTAAACATTTCCAGACCCTTTGTGACACTCACGATTTTGGCAATTTTCCCACTTTTGCGAAGCTGCTGGACAGCGTACGCATGCTCCACATTGTCCATGGACACAGCATTGACCATAACCACTCTGTCATTTTCCCTACAGGCAAAAAAGAAGAAAGAACAGACAGACTGGAGTCTCTCTGAAGCATGTCTAATGTACTAATTATTCAAGGGGAGTAACTCAAAGCTAAAACCCATCATTTGATCCAAGAACAGAATCTTACTGCAGCAGGCCTTCTGCAGGGCCTCCTTTCAGCACGTCTGAGATAACGATGGAGGTCTCGCCGCTCTGAAAATGAGGGTTATCCCGACCTCCTGATATGGCTATCCCAAATCCGAACCCTGGTGCCTGCACACAGAGAAAAAACATAAAACCGTTCTTAGATTTCTATAATAATAATAATAATAAAGACTGACACATGTTATCCACTGTTGCTTTCCATACACACTCATCAGGGCTAAAATTAGACAGTAACCCATCTGTGAATTTAATATTTACAGTTATGTTTAACAACTAAAAAAAAGCTTTGTCCACATTTAAAAAAAAAATGTTAATAAATACAATTATATAGAATATTTATTTTGATAAATACTAAGATAGAATGGGGTTAGAAATTAATAGGATAAATGATCAATTTTTAGAGGTAATTTAAAAAAAAGATGTTGAATTCTGTTAAATAGTCAAATAAAGAAACTTAAAAAAAATGATAATAATATTGAAAGATGGTAGTTTTGTGACTTTGAATAGAATTGTAGTGTGTTTTATTGCAACATTTTATTTACGGCAGCTGACCTCGTTTGTTGGAAAGCTGTAAACCTAAGGGGGGGGGGGGACAACGAAAAATCAGCAAATCAAAAGAACATTTTGATTTGTTCCTATTTTCTGGCTAACGTTAGCCCTGGCCGCTGCAGACGGGCTAACGTTAGCCCTGGCTGCTGCAAACGGGCTAACGTTATCCCTGGCTGCTGCAAACGGGCTAACGTTATCCCTGGC